CATGTGAGAGAATGGGTCTGTGCTCAGTGTGTGCAGTGTAAAAAATAATCAGGGAGAATGCAATGCATTGTGGGAGTGCCAATTCAGTATGCCTTGTTCACTATGCCTAGCAGTAGCGGCAGCTTGTAGCTAAAATTAGTGGAGTTACTGCTTCAGAAAATTTTTAGCCAATGTTTTAATATTGTGTAAAACAAAACAAGCATATACTACAGTGGTTTCTCGTTTTTCGTATTTAATCCGTTCCTGGAGGTGCTACTATTATCGAAATCTATGATTTTCGAATCAATTTTCCCCATAAGAAATAATGTAAATACAATTAATCCGTTCCTGACACCCAGCAGTATCAACAACAATTTTTTTTTTACCTTAAAGATAGATTTACATGCACAAAAGAATGAACATTCAACATGACAGTTACCTTTATTGAAGGCTGTTGTTAGGTAAGACACATATGCAACAGTTAGGTATCTTTATTTTGAAACGTTTCGCCTACACAGTAGGCTTCTTCAGTCGAGTACAGAAAAGTTGATAGAAGCAGAAGATACTTGAAGACGATGTAATCAGTCCATCACCCTTAAAGTTTTGAGGTGGTCAGTCCCTCAGTCTGGAGAAGAGCATTGTTCCGTTGTCTGAAACAATATGAAGTTGAAGTGACAGGATGGAAACCTTTTATAGTGCCGGAGGTGAGACGTAGGTTGCGTTGGGAGGGCAGGTCCCTCTCAAACCAGCCGTTCTCATTGTAGAGATTGTCGAAGTTGTGGTCTGTACCAAGATCCCCTTGTGTTGCAGTGTCTGACAAAATGAACATTAAAAATGGTATAAAATACCGACAGATTGTTAGGTAAGACACATATTGCAACAGTTAGGTATCTTTATTTTGAAACGTTTCGCCTACACAGTAGGCTTCTTCAGTCGAGTACAGAAAAATAAAGATACCTAACTGTTGCATATGTGTCTTACCTAACAATCTGTCGGTATTTTATACCATTTTAATGTTCATTCTGTCAGACACTGAAACACAAGGGTATCTTGGTACAGACATCAACTTCGACAATCTCTACAAGTGAGAACGACTGGGTTTGAGAGGGACCTGCCCTCCCAACGCAACCTACGTCTCACCTCCTGGCACTATAAAAGGTTCCATCCTGTCACTTCAACTTCAAAATTGTTTCAGACAAGGGAAAACAATGCTCTCTCCAGACTGAGGGACTGCCCACCTCAAAACTTTAGGGTGATGGACTGATTACATCGTCTTCAGTATCTTCTGCTTCTATCACTTTTTCTGTACTCGACTGAAGAAGCCTACTTTTGTAGGCGAAACGTTTCAAAATAAGATACCTAACTGTTGCATATGTGTCTTACCTAACAATCTGTCGGTATTTTATACCATTTTAATGTTCATTCTGTCAGACACTGCCAACACAAGGGTATCTTGGTACAGACCATCAACTTCGACAATCTCTACAAGTGAGAAGGCTGGGTTTGAGAGGGACCTTGCCCTCCCAACGAAACCTACGTCTCACCTCCTGGCACTAAAAAAAGGTTCCATCCTGTCACTTCAACTTCATTTTGTTTCAGACAACGGAACAATGCTCTTCTCCAGACTGAGGGACTGACCACCTCAAAACTTTAAGGGTGATGGATGATTACATCGTTTCAAGTATCTTCTGCTTCTATCAACTTTTCTGTACTCGACTGAGAAGCCTACGGGTGTAGGCGAAACGTTTCAAAATAAAGATACCTAACTGTTGCAAAATGGTCTTACCTAACAATCTGTCGGTATTTTATACATTTTAATGTCATTCTGTCAGACACTGCAACACAAGGGTATCTTGGTACAGACCATCAACTTCGACAATCTCTACAAGTGAGAACGGTTTGGTTTGAGAGGGACCTTGCCCTCCCAACGCAACCTACGTCTCACCTCCTGGCACTAAAAAAGGTTCCATCCTGTCACTTCAACTTCATATTGTTTCAGACAACGGAACCAATGCTCTTCTCCAGACTGAGGGACTGACCACCTCAAAATTTAAGGGTGATGGACTGATTACATCGTCTTCAAGTATCTTTGTTCTATCAACTTTTCTGTACTCGACTGAAGAAGCCTACTGGTAGGCGAAACGTTTCAAAATAAAGATACCTAACTGTTGCATATGTGTCTTACCTAACAATCTGTCGGTATTTTAATCCCATTTTAATGTTCATTCTGTCAGACACTGAAAACACAAGGGTATCTTGGTACAGACCATCAACTTCGACAATCCTACAAGTTGAAACGGCTGGGTTTGAGGGGACCTGCCCTCCCAACGCAACCTACGTCTCACCTCCTGGCCTATAAAAGGTTCCATCCTGTCACTTAACTTCATATTGTTTCAGACAACGGAACAATGCTCTTCTCCAGACTGAGGGACTGACCACCTCAAAACTTTAAGGGTGATGGACTGATTACATCGTCTTCAAGTATCTTCTGCTTCTATCAACTTTTCTGTACTCGACTGAAGAAGCCTACTGTGTAGGCGAAACGTTTCAAAATAAAGATACCTAACTGTTGCATATGTGTCTTACCTAACAATCTGTCGGTATTTTATACCATTTTAATGTTCATTGAAGGCTGTTGTTGATGAATGGAAGACAGGGAGGAGGAGAAAGGGAAGAGAGGTTATTGTTTGGAAGAGGAATCCCCCTCCATAAGGACTCTAGGTCATTTCAGGGGTCACTTACCGAGCTTAAATATAGATTTACATGCAGAAAAGAATGCCAAATAAATGTAAAGCACTAATAAAATGTATAAATGAACACTGGGAATAGGGGTAGTTGATGAGTGTAATGGTCTACCTAGTAGGGTGATCAAAGCTAAAACATTGGGTAGTTTCAAATTTAGGTTGGATAAATACATGAGTGAGAAAGGTTGGTTTGAATCGGTCTTGCACATGAGTAAATAGGTTTATCAAAGCTTCTTGCTTGGGTATAGCAGTTATGCTGTTAGTGGGTTGGATTTGTGAAGGACCGGCCTAGTATGGGCCAACAGGCCTATTGCAGTGTTCCTCATTTCTTATGTTCTAAAAGCTATGGCTTGGGTAGTTTCAAATTTAGGTTGGATAAATACATGAGTGAGAGGGGTTGGATTTGAGTTGGACTTGCACCTGAGCTTATTGCTTGGGTAGCATTTGTTCTGTTAGTGGGTTGGATTTGTGAAGGACCTGCCCAGTATGGGCCAGCAGGCCTGTTGCAGTGTTCCTGCTTTAAGTTCTTATGTTCTTATTTAACATCACACTTACCAGTAGGGTGATCAAGGCTAGGACCTTGGGTAGCTTTAAGAAGAGATTGGACAAATATATGAGTGGGAGGAACTGAGTTTGATTTGTGTCATTGGGTACGGGAGTAAATTCTTGGGTAGCTTTGGGTAGAGGTCATTTTGATAAGGACCTGTCTTGTATGGGCCAGTAGACCTGCAGTGTTCTACCATTGTTATGTTCTTAGTGGGAAGGATTGTAAAGGACTTGCCTAGTATGGACCAACAGGCCTACTGCAGTGTTCCTCCTTTCTTATATTCTTATTGGAGACTTGTTTGTGTGAGGGAGGGATGGCAAGTTTATTGTTGGAGAATATGACAGTAATACCAACTCTACAGCTTATTTATCTATCACAATTCAACTAATATGACATAATAAACAATATTAATAACATAGAAACATGGAATATACTCTAGAAGAATGAATAAAATAAGTCATTATGTATGTTACGAGAGGTGTTGTGTTGTGTTGTGTTGTTGTTGGGTATATAAGGGCCACTGAGAGTAAGCTGTCCATAATGGTGGTGAAGCAGCAGCTGAGGCCGCAGTGTTTTCTGTAGCCCTATATAACTCGAACAACATTGGAGGAGTTGGTAGAATTGCTGAATCACTGAAGAAGACACCCTCTACCACCATCACTACCACCTTCTACCACTATTACAATGCTACCACCATCACTACCACTATTACAATGCTACCACCATCACTACCATCATCACTACTACCCTCTACCACCATCAACCACTATCACAACTGCTTCCACTCTACCACCACCACCTTCGTATTTTTCTACAAACTTTTTCTTAAATTATATGTGTTTCTCACATTCTTTACCAAAGGGCTGGCACTAGAAGCTTTCCTTGGAGCCATGGTGACTTATTTAGCAGTTGCAAACACTAAAACGAATGGAATATTATGAAATGTATCGTATGAACTCGTGGGATCATCCTCACTCACTGATAAACAATGGCACACTGGCTGGGAATGGAGTGTGAGGCAGCTCGGGGCTGTGTGTACCTGTCCCGGTTGAACTACTATTCGCAAGTCAATCTACGATTAGCGAGCCCATGTTTATACGAAAATATCGCTATGATTTCTGAAATCTACAACTCTCGAGCCCTACGATTATCGAGGGACCACTGTAAAAAGAAAATTTATACGTAAGCTTGATAAAATCATAAACAAAAAAATATTTTTTACTTACCTAAATAATTTAGGTAAGTAAAAAATATGAATTAACCCTTTCAGGGTTGGTACCGTACTAGTACAGCTTACACACCAGGGTCAGTACCGTACTAATACGCATAAATCAAATCAAGCGGGAAAAAGCTGGTAGGCCTACATGCGAGAGAATGGATCTGCATGGTCAGTGTGTGCAGTAGGAAAAAAATCGGGGTCCCAGTGGTGCATTGTAGGAATGCCATTTTAGTACGCCTTGTTCACTATGTCTTGTGCTAAGAAACTCCTCACTCCTCAGTGAATTGGGACACTTTTGTTCCCAACTGACAGTTCAAACACAGATGGAAGTGTCAGTGAAGATGACTTTCAAGGTTTTGAGGAGTTTATGACTGAAACTAATGACCATAATACCAGTAATGGTGAGGAAAACTCAGACGACCCACAACTTTCCACCTCTGGTTCTGGGATGTTTTGTTCACATCCATTTGTACCAGAACGAAAGAGGAAACTCATATTTTCCCATGTCCAGGGCTCAGATGTGAGCAGTGGTGATGATAGTGATAGTGAATATGATCTCCAAGCTCTTGAAAATAGTTCCAGTAGCGAGAGTGAAGTGAAATATTCTCCTGTGAAGTGCCAGTATATACGATGCTATATGCACTCTAATAGTGTGCCATATGCTATTCCAAGGGTAAGGAGTACATGTACATCTTGGAGTACATCCTATGGCCTATACAACAGGAACAGATTGTAAAAACGAAGATGATGATATTACAATTGGGATGAAAAATGGTATGTGGCATTCAGATGGTAGTGGTTATTATCGGTGCCAACCATGATGGCACAGCTGTGTGGGCCTTGCTAGGTACCATGCAGCTGAGTCAGTGAGGTAACAACAAAAGGCCACCCTCACCACCCACCCACCACACCAACCTCCACAGACAAGACAACCTCCCACATACAAAAACACATTCATATTTATAAACAACACCTGTCAATATCGAGTACCTACAGCGACCGATCTGATTGGTTTTAGCAGGGTGACAGTTTTGTTCCCAATCCCATCACTTTGATGAAAGCCAAAGTGGATTACGGCCATCTTGTACACTTGGAACAATGCCATCTGAACTGGAATTGTTTGACGTTATTCTTTGATGAACCTCTGATGGAAATTATTGTCAGGGAAAGCAACACATACTTCGATTACATGATGGCAAACACGCAATACAGGGGACCCCGCCATAAGGATATTAATCCATATGAGAGTCATTGGTTTTATGCGACGAACGATTATCGTTTACGCGAATGAATTTTCCCCTAAGAAATAATGGAAATCAAGATTAATCCGTGCAAGCCACCAAAGTATGAATAAAAAAATTTTACCACATGAAATATACATTTTTCCTACACCAAGAGAAGGATACATGCACAATAGTAGAGTAGTACATGCACAGTATATAATGTGCATGTACTACTTTACTAAATGAAGAATAAATTGACACCTTTATTGAAGATGCAGCAATGACTGATGAGACACTGTGTCCTGGGAGGGCTTTTCCTCTGAGAACTGTAGGTTACTGTTTGGCATTTCTTCCAGAACAGGCCTTAAACACTGTGTATGCCACTACGATTCTTAAATCTCTCAAACCAACTTTGATGGTTTAACCTTTTGACTGTTTCCGAGTATAATTACGCTTACGAGCCAATGTTTCTGAGTTATTTATAGATAAATTCTAGCAGCTTCAATTTCAAGCAGGAAGAAAAGCTGGTAGGCCCACATGTAGAGAATGGTCTCCATGGTCATGTGCACCATATATAAAAAAAATCGGGGGCAGGTGGTGCATTTGTGGGAATGCCTTTTCAGTGTCCTTTTTCTGCATGTCTAGCGGTTAAGAAATATGTGATTCCCCAGCCAAATCTGGGACCTTCTCTTCCCACAAGTGTGCTCTAACACAGATGGAGTGTCAGTGAAATCAATTTCCTGATTTGGAGAGGATTTGGACCAGAAAAGCAATGGGAGGAAGGAGGAGGAGGGGAGGAGAAGAGGAGGGGAGGAAGAGGAAGGAGAGGAGGGGAAGGAGGGGAGGGTAGGAGGAGGAGAATGAGGAGGAGGAGTGAGAGGGGAAGAAGAAGAAGAAGATGCTAATAATATTGTTCCTGAAGCAAGAAAAAAAAAAGTCCACCCATGCGAGTGACAAGAATAAGGGGAGATAACATCTGATAAGACTGACTTTGATGAGCGTAACGAGCGGGTAGTGTGATAAGGAAATATTACAAGGACCAATCGCCTCCCTTTTGTTTTTGCTGGTACACAACATTTCTGTCTGCATATTTGTCTGTCTGTCAAGCTCCCTGTCTGTCATCTAGCTCTCTCTGTTCAGAGCTCACAAGATGTTGTCAATCACGTTACTCAAACATCTTTCAAAGAAGAGATGAGTATATGCACTTTGTCTAGATTTCTGGGTTAATCTAGTAATGTATACACTATGTTACTTTGTATTTTATGTGTACCTGTGAAGACAGAGATAGGCAGACAGATAGAAAGAGGAGACAGATTGAAAGATATAGATGAGGTGAGAAAGATAATTAGATAGAATGGAGAGGGGAAGCAGCAGCAATCCGACCCCATTGTTTTGACAGGCGGGAGGGGGGGACGTGAGTAATGAGACAATTTGTCACTTGACAGCTGCCGACTTCTCGACTCAAAACAATTATAAGCCACACACTCGCACCACAAGGACAAGGAGGAGGAGAAGGAGGAGGAGGAGGAGGAGGAGGGGAAGGAGGAGTGTAGGAGGAGGAGAAGGAGGAGGAGGAGGAGAAGGAGGAGGAGGAGGAGAAGGAGGAGGAGGAGGAGAAGGAGGAGGAGGAGAAGGAGGAGGAGTGAGGAGAAGGAGGAGGAGGGGAGGAGGAGGAGGAGAAGGAGGAGGAGGAGGAGAAGGAGGAGGACGGAGGAGATGGAGGAGGAGGAGGAGAAGGAGGAGGAAGGAGGAGAAGGAGTAGAGGAGGAGAAGGAGGGAGAGGAGAAGGAGGAGGAGGAGACGGAGGAGGAGGAGAAGGAGGAGGAGGAGAAGGAGGAGGGAGGAGAAGGAGGGTGAGGAGGAGATGGAGGAGGAGGGAGAAGGAGGAGGAGGAGGAGGAGGAGGAAGGGAGGGGAGGAGAGGGGAGAAGGAGGAGGGAGGAGAAGGGGAGAAGGAGGAGGAGGAGAATGTAGGAGGAGGAGGAAGGAGGAGGAGGTAGGAGGAAGAGGAGGAGGAGGAGGGGAGAAGGAGGAGGAGGAGAAGGAGGAGCGAGGAGAGGAAGGAGGAGGAGGAGGAGAAGGAGGAGGAGGCGAGGGGAGGAGAAGGAGGAGGGGAGAAGGAGGAGGAAGGAGAAGGAGGAGGAGGAGAAGGAGGAGGAGTGAGGAGGTAGGACGAAGGAGGAGGAGAAGGAGGAGGAGGAGGAGAAGGGAAGGGAGGAGGAGGAGAAGGAGGAGGAGGAGGAGCGGAGGAGGAAGGAGGAGAAGGAGGAGGAGGAGGAGAAGGCGGAGGAGGAGGAGAAGGAGGAGGAGGAGGGAGGAGGAGGAGAGGAGGAGGAGGAGGAGAGGCGGAGGAGGAGGTAGGAGAAGGAGGAGGAGGAGAAGGGAGGAGGAGGAGGAGAAGGAGGGGAAGGAGAAGGGAGGAGGAGGAAGGAGAAGGAGGAGGAGGAGAGGGAAGGAGGAGGAGGAGGTGGAGGAGGAGAAGGGAGGAGGAGAAGGAGGAGGGAGGAGGAGAAGGGGAGGAGGAGGAGAATGGTGAGGAGGAGGAGAAGGAGGAGGATGGAGGGAAGGAGGAGGAGGAGGCGGAGGAGGAGGAGAAGAAGGAGGAGAAGGAGAGGAGGAGGCAGAAGGAGGAGGAGGAGGCGAAGGACGGAGGAGGAGGAGGAGGAGGAGGAGTAGGAGGAGGAGGAGGAGAAGGAGGAGGTGGAGGAGAAGGAGGGGAGAGGAGGAGGAGGAGGAGGAGAAGGAGGAGGAGGAGGGAGAAGGATGAGGAGCGAGGAAGAAGGAGGAGGAGGAGGAGAAGGAGGAGGAGGAGGAGGAAGGAGGAGGAGGAGGAAGGAGGAGAGGAGGAGGAGAGGAGGAGGAGGAGGAAGGAGGGGAGGAGGAGGAGAAGGAGGAGGAGGAGGAGAAGGAGGAGGAGGAGGGGAAGAAGGAGGAGGAGGAGGAGGAGGAGGAGATAGGTCGGAGGAGAAGGAGGAGGAGGAGGAGAAGGAGGAGGAGGAGGAGGAGGTGGAGGGGAGGAGAAAGAAGGAGGAGGAGGAGGAGAAGGAGGAGGAGGAGGAGAAGGAGGAGGAGGAGGAGAAGGAGGGGAGGAGGAGAAGGGAGGAGGAGAGAGGAGAAGGAGGAGGAGGAGGAGAAGGAGGAGGAGGTAGGAGGAGGAGGAGGAGGAGGAGGGGAGGAGAAGGAGGAGGAGGAGGAGAAGGAGGAGGAGGAGGAGAAGGAAGAGGAGGGAGGGAGAAGGAGGAGGAGAGAGGAGAAGGAGGTTGGAGGAGGAGAAGGAGGAGGAGGTGGAGAAGGCGAGGAGGAGGAGGAGAAGGAGGGGAGGTGGAGAAGGAGGAGGAGGAGCGAGGAGGAGGAGAAGGAGGAGGAGGAGGAGAAGGTAGGAGGTGGAGGAGAAGGACGGAGGGAGGGAGGAGAAGGAGGAGGAGGAGGAGAAGGAGGAGGAGGGAAGGAGGTGGAAGGAGAGGAGGAGGAGGAGGAGGAGGAGGAGGAGGAGGAGGAGAAGAGGAGAGGAGAGGAGGAGAAAGAAGGAAGAGGTTGAAGAAGGAGGAGGAGAAGAATGAGGAGGAGAAGAAGGAGGAGGGAGAAGAAGGAGGGGAGAAGAGGAGGAGGAGGAGGAGGGAGGAGGAGGAGGAGGATGAGGATATGAGGATTGAGGATGTAGGGATGAGGATGAGGAAGATGATGATGATGATGATGATGATGATGATGTGATGATTGGTTGTTTGTTTTTGTAAACAAGTTTTGTAACAATATATTGAAGTAATTATGTTTGTGTGCCTTAATAGTTGTGTATACAACGAGTGTATATATATACATGCACCTTATTTGGTCTCAACAGGCCACCGAAGTTATGTGAAAAGAAATTAAAATAGTTGCAAAAAAAAACAAAAAACTTCAATTACACAGTAAACTAAAGTTTACCGGTGTGAGCGGCCAGGGGGCTAGTCGCGCTGTTGCCATACGCGGCTCTTTTCCTGCAAGACTTCACGGCTTATATCTCGGTAAGTACCGATGGTCCAAAAAGATTTTTTTTTTTTTGGACTTAATACACTCAGAAAAATAATCTTTACATTTTTCATAAGAAAAAAATTATTTTTTTTTTTTGAATATTGGCGGACATAGAATGAGCAGTTCAGAAGAGGGGCCTGAAACAGTTCAAAGGGTTAAAAATCACCAATATGAGACTAGTTCCAGGCATTTTTTCTGGTTCACCTGGGTGTTAGTCGATGGTGTGGGTTTTGATCCTGGGAGTCAAGATTATGGACCCCAATGGAAATAAGTTAGAGAGTCACTCGATTGATGCACTGACTTTCTTGGGTTATCCTGGGTGGTAACCCTACGGAGGGTTTATCGTTTCTCGGTAATTTGATTCACGTTTAAGCCACACCAACAACACTCCACATCTTCGAGTAGTAATAAGCTGATAGATGGTTGCAGCAACACAACACGCT